AAGATGTGTGGACTTCAACTCCCAGAAGCCCCCAGCCAGCATGCTGGCTGGGGAATTCTGGGAGTTGAAGTCCACACATCTTCAAGTTGCCGAGGCTGAGAATCACTGTTCTGAGGATTTTTTTTTTAACGTGACTTCCAAGCACTTATATATTTACCGCTTTTATAACCTTGGCTTTTAAGGCAACATAACCAGGGGGGATATTGGGTGGGGGGTCTCATGGAGGGGCTGAGCACGTTTTCCAGCAGCCCAGATGCTTTTTGCACGATGCTGTTTGCACCATATCCAATAGGTGGCACCCTTCCCTTCCAATTCCCAAATAATGATAATAATAATTATTATTATTAATTAGACATCTCCCTAATTCCTCCTCTTTAGATTACAGTGCTTGCAAAGGAAGGATCTGTCATCTCCAGGCCTCTGTGGGGCTTTTATTTTTTTAAGGAGGGAAAAAGAAACATTCAAAGGAGAGGTGGGGGGGGGTAACTAGGCTTGTATGTAGAACCTCCAGGTTCAGGAGATGTATACCTCTAGGTAGTCCCAGACGCTGGAGATATTCCTCCGCCTTCTCTTCCATCATCCGGCTGGAATGGCTGGCTACCTTTTGCATTGCTCGAGTCGCATTCAATCTTTACCCTTCCTGAATTGATTGATTAATAGGGTTGGATTTTGGCTGGGGGGAGGCGGAAAGAGAGTTCCCGACCTGATATTTTGGCCACGATGGTGATGATGATCTTTCGTATCGCTCCAGTCTTCCTCCAACGCTCTCCTTCTACCCCGTGGCAGGCGGCAACTACGAAAAGGCCATCGAGTGCGCAAAGACGTATTTGCTCTTCTTCCCCGACGACGAGGTGATGAAGCAGAACGTGGCGTATTACACGGCGGTGCTCGGGGAGAACCTGGCCAAGCTGATCGGTCCCAGAGAGGCAAGTGTCCCCCCTCCAGTCAGTGGGGTCTCTTAGCAGGAGGGGAGGGAAGACCTCACACTGGAAGACAGACAGACAGACAGACCTGCCCACGTTCATCCTCCGGGTCTTGGTTGATGTTGAGTTACGCAAGTGCTTTTCGTGGAATCTTAGATGGGGCGGGTGGAAAGGGGTCTGGGAGAACATCTAGCCCACCCCACTGCCCAGGGCAGGAATC